GTGGATATCCTGCAAACACAGACTGCAGAGGCGATCGTCGTCATTTCGTGAGTCGTTCACTGGCATTCTTCCTTCCATATATCATACATATTCCATCCTAATTCAATGTTTTTCAGAGGAATGCGCAGTTTCGTCGTGGCACAGGCATCAGCTTTTGCGCTTCCGTTAATCGAGAGCATCGGCGTGGTAGCTACCTGTGCTCTTGCTGCCGGTGTAGCCTGGTTTGGTTTCGCGTAAGCACAGCGGATTTACGATGGTCTTTATGTTACTTACTGGTCTTCCAGATTATTACTCATAACAATCATATACGGCACTCGCCTAAGGAAGTGGGTAGATTTGGGATATACAACGACGGCGGATGGTACCTCATGATCTTGAAAAATTCTTTAGATTCAGCGCATGCATCTTATAATATTTCTTGAGGTATTTAATGATATAATGCAGGCTTACAAACAGCACAACTGAATTCCAACGGTTAAAGAAGAGTGGATACATGGTAGAGTAAGGAACGATACTTCAGCATTTTATTCGAGTTCAAGTTTAAGTCCGAGTCCATCCGCCTCTCACCATATACTTGCTTCTTCCAATGCTTCATCTGTTTTACTCAGACCATCGTCCTCTGGCGCAAGGATCTGCCTCGCTGATACCTAAGGGGGTTTCCGAAAGGAGCTCTGGGTCATCTTGGTAATCATAAAGCACCTGTTGTAGGTTAATACGAGGGTCCAATACTAAATTATATTAGAAGAGAAACTCAACGGAATGCAAATTAAACTCACAACTGGCCTAAAGAATGTAAGGAGATTGATCAATCTTGAAGAAATATAGACTGTCGAAAAAATCATAGAAAATCAGAGAAAAGATCAATCAATTCTATAGAGTATTAACCTAGTACAAGCCAACACTTAAGGCCTAGAAATGCTATCAACTGGCCATATTGCAGTAAGACACGGCGGTGGGAGTTGGAGGCTTGGCCAAAGTAAAAATAGAACGAGACCTGCATCAGCATGCCGCTCGTTCCATTCTGGGTCGTGGGAGCGAACCCGTCCGTATCCGTAACATCCCCCGTATACGGCCGTATGTGTACGGGCGCATACGGCACCTCTCAGTAGTACCGTATACGGATACGGGGATCGTGTCTGCGGAACCCTTACCATACGGGCACGGCGCGGTAATACGGGACCTGTATACGGTGCCGACCCCTACACACGCGCATTTGCATCAACCACAGCTGGACGCGTACGCGCATGCGCAGGTCCATATGCCGCCGCCGCATTCGCATTCGCAGCCACAGTTGCAGCAGCAGCAGCACCATCAACACCAGAATCAGAGCCAACATCAGTTGCATCAACAGCCACAAACACAAACACAACAGCCACCCCAGTGCACATCCCAACAGCAACACGCCACAACAACAACAACAATCCTCCCAACCCCAGCCCCGCTCCACCCGTTCCAGCTCCCGCTCCCAACACCGCCCCGCGCCACCCCCTATCTCTATCCGCCGCGCCGCGCCTGCGCCTGCTCCCGGCCCCCCGTCACCCCCCTCGCCCTCTTCCTCGCCCTCCTCGCCCCGCCCGCAAAAGCCCCTCCTCTCGTCGCCCCAAAAACGTCTCAACCACATCCTCTCCGAGCAAAAACGCCGCAACGCAATCTGCGATGGCTACGTGACCCTCACGACGATGCTCGCGCCTGCCGGTGCGCCCATCGGGTCGGGCATCCCTACGCGCGGTAGACCTAAAGGAAGTGGGAGGCAGGGGAACGGGGGCGCGAAGGTGAAGAGTGGGGTGCTGTTTCGGGCGGTGGAGTATTGTCGGTGGTTGGAGGAAGGGGTGGAGGCGTTGAGGGTGGAGGTGGAGAGGGTGGAGATCTTGGCGGGCGCGGGGAAGAGGGAGTCTAAGAGTATGTGAGGGGGGTGAACGTTGCGCGAGATAGAGTTATGGGATTGTATTATTAGGTTCGTCCGTTCGTTTCTCTCCTTCGCGTCTCTCACTCGATCCTAATGCGTTCTTTATTCCAGCCTCACCTTTACACCATCTTATACCATTCGATTCGAATTCGACCGTCCCATTTTTCGTCCCGCGTCGCTTTCCACTTTCCACCCACCTCTCACCTCCGCCTTCGCACATTACTTTTGCATACCACCTCGGACACGTATTATACCCAAATACAACCCAAATCCCATCGAGGACTGTCGACGTTATGGTATAGTTATGATTATAGCGGTGTTTACCGCGGAGAAGATCAAGTAACAGGATACCAAGTAGCGAGATGCGCATCGACGCAATTTCCATTTCCATTTCAACTTTTGTATACATACATATAGCTCAACTCGAGTGTGCAGACGGGGTATCTTATGGCTGGCTTATGGCTTATTGTAATTAATTACTTGTATGATATGATAGCAGACTCCGTACCAGAATTGAATGGGGAAGAAATAAAGAATAAAGAGTAAAGAATAAATGAAGACTGTGGTGCTATGCATTTGCAGGAGTAGATCGCGATGAGAACGTTTCGTTTCGGTGCCGTCGGTCCGAAGCGTGCGCAGAGGCGGCCAATGAGGAGGACCGCTTAATGAAATTGTGGGCGCACATCATGCCACGCTTTCTGTTTGCCTACTCTGCTCTCTGCTCTCGTGCTCTCTTCCGATTCGTCCTTCGTTCATTAATAGATCCGGTCTTTATTTCTATCCCACCAATCCGCGTTGTCTTTCGAAGGGGCCCATCGTTCCATCCACGTATGTCACGAATACAACATCTACCTCATACCAAGCGCCATCTCCTATGCTATCGAAAAGGTACCGGCATCGTTGATGAACCAAGGGACGCTAAGTCATGTCTTATTTATGTTTGAACTCTACTATTGACACGACCCCTCTGAGCCCCTTTCCTCTCCGATGTTTAACCGGTGGCAACTCCGATGACGATCCCTACTACGTATGTATCTTTACCCCCTTTTCTAAGTATTCACCTCCTTCCTTCCCCTCAGTTGAACGGGTTGAACCAAGTCGTTCTCGTCCCTCAGCTGACCCTCCATCCATCCTCCTGCCGACCCCTCCCTGACCACCCGGACCTCTAATCCAGATCAAACAATCCCCATTCTGCAGCGGCACCGATGTCGATCGTGATGGCTGGTGGGTGCGGATCCCCGGCGTGTGGGCTCGTGTGGAGGAGTCAAATAAGATCAAACAGGGAGAAATTCAAAGCTGAACGGAGTAGGCTCGATCGTTGAACTTTGATGGTCGACAGGTCCGCTGCCAGAGCCAGTGCCGGTGCCTGTAGCAGCAAGAGTTTAAGCCGAGCCTGATCATGAGGGCCGCGTTATTGCCTTTTTTAATGTGGCCCTGGGGATGTCTGGGCTCATGGCGGGCAGGGAAGCGATAGGGAACAGGGGAGAGGTTTTAATTTTTCCTGGGTGTTCTGGGTGGTGAGATATGTCGGGGTGAAGAATTAAGGTTGCATAGAGGTATGTCTGTTTAAATTTTTAGTTTACTAGAGATTACTACGGAACTGAGGTTATATGTCCTTCCCTCTCATTTTGCCCGAACTTCTCTCGTACGTGCTTCGCTATTTGCTCTTCTATTGACATGCTTCGTTCTCCTACTAGATATAAAATATTTAGTATGGACTTGAACGGAAATCTGGATCGAGTCACGACAGGCAGAGAAGGGGGTAAAGAGGGAAATGTTTTAATTTTCCCTCAGGTTTCTGGATGTTGTGAGATATGTTGGGTTGGGGAATTAACGTGGTATACAGGTATGGATGGTTGGACATTTATTTTTCAAGCTGTTTACCTGGGCTCAGGTTTATTACGGAACTGAGGTCTTGAACGGAAGTCTGGATTGACTCATGATGGGCAGAGAAGGAGAAAATTGTTTTAATCTCTCCTCGAGTTTCTGGGTGTTGTGAGATATGTTGGGTTGGGGAGTTAACGTGGTAAATATACAGGTATTATACGTCTGCTTAAGAAATATTTTATTTTTCTGTTGTTCGCGCGGGCTCAGGCTTACTACGGAATGAGGTCTTGTGCACACACTTCCCTCTCCTTTCGTCCTTCGGAACCTCTCTCGCACGTGCTTCGCTCTTATATATATATACCCTCTCTCTTCTAGCGTCTTTGAACTGCTGGCAGGAACGTGTATCTAAAAATTAAAATTTGTTGTCTGATCCATTCCGATCTATCAACTAGAGAAATAAAATACTTATGATGGACTTGAAGCAGCCTCTCTTTATAGTCTGGATTCTACGCTCTGTCTCCCTTTCCTTAGCCTCTTCATCTTTCATCTATCTATGTTTCTATCTTCAATCCACCTCTCGTCTTCAATCCAATCCACTTAACCGCGTATATGTGCGTATATTCAAAACTTGTTGTTCCATTCAACATGTTAATGTTGTATACAGACATATCTGCATAGGAATTCTTTCTCAAGGTGATTCCCAAGATTTTATATTATCGAAATATGGTCTTATATCTTTCTTTCCCTTCCCCTTCGAAACCTTTATGGCATATTATTCGCTCTCCACATCCAACCGCGGGTGTATCTCCCAAAAATTGTTATTCCACCCCTTCCGATGAATCGAAATCTTCCGAAATAGATACTTGGAATGGTGTACTGTCTCTTTGTCATCTACACGCAACCTCTGTCTCCTTTTCTTGTTTCTTTATTTTTTCCTCCTTCTCATGTATCTAGGGGGAGACGAAGAAAGGTCGTAAAAGAAAAGAACGGGAGGAAATTAGAGGGAAATTGCGGAGTTCTTTAGATGAAAAGATCTTGATCTTGGGTTGAGAAGGAAGAATCTGTAGTGATGAACTTTTCTTCTTTTTCTTTTGCTGTTTTTCTACAATCTGATCCCCAGTCTTTGGTTCACCCTCTAAACCCCGACACCAAAAGTCCCATCAACACAAAATGCTTTCCCCTAATAATGATATCGTTAAGGATTGTGACTTTTTCACGCCTTAGTCCATTGCCCAGTGATTTTGGTTGATAAAATTTCAATAAATAATCCTCAAGCGGGGAATTGAACTCCGGTCTAGCATGATCTTGATTTGAGGCTCATGACAGGCATGAATACTAACCACTATACTGCTTAAGAGTGATTCTTATGGTTGCTTTATCCTGTCCTTCGCAATTGGGAGCCATGCCAGTTTTTTTCCGCCCACTGCCCATAGGTTGGATATCTCTTTTTTTAGCCTTTATGGTTAGTTCTAGTCCTGAAATGTGCATGGATTTTAAAGTATTTGCCATTTAATAAAATCTTGACATCAGAGGCATAATCATGATGGAAACATTTTGAAATATATATATAGTAAATCATAGTGAGATATCCAACATACATTCTGAATTCATAATAGTGGTACATTATACTTTCCATTCCTCCCAGGGAATATAGTTACTAAAATCAAGAACTGTTTCAGGTGCACCAATAACAAATTGAGTTGAGGGAGTATGAAAGCCGGGCCAAAGATTATTTGGTACCCATGCAATTGGAGCTTTAGAGAATCCATCAAGAATCCATCCTGACTTTGCATTCCATGTCCAAGTTGTGATAGGTACTTTTGT